GGACGGTGGACACCCACGTCATGGCCTCGAGCGGTCTTGGCAGCCTCGACACGCTTGGCGGTGAAGGCGGCCCATGGATCGGTCGTTGGCTGCGGGCGGGACGTCGTGGCCGGGTCGGCGGCGCGGCGGTCGCGAGGTTCCATGCGTGCTGCGACTGCGGCGGTTGATCCAGAGTCAGCGGCACGACCAGGTAACGTGGCCTGAGCGTGGACCATAGTGCGGTGGCCGATGGCATGGACGGCAGCCGCGGTCGGATGTTGTAGGTGACCAGGATCGACGTTGGCGGCCTGCGACGACCCCAAATGCGGCGCGTCGGCGTCCATGCCGTCGTCAGCCACCTCGGTAGGCCCAGTGGACGGTGGTGAGGCTGATGGCTCGCTTTCCATAGGCGCCGGGGCGTTGGAGGCGTTGGAGGTCGCTGGCGCAGGCCAGTTGGCCATTGTCGGATTGAACCCATGGCGTCGGCGGCGACACCAAATCGTACGTAGAGCCGTCCATGGTGGCATCGACAGCCTCACCAGGTCCCGTGGTAGGTGGTGAGGTGGCGTGGTCACTTTCCATAGGCGGCGAAGCGGTGGCGGCGGCGCCAGCGGCTCGCGCGGGCAAAATTGGGCTAGCCCGAGATCCGCGGTTGCAGGCCCGCCAAGGCCCCTCGGCGTGAGTTTCGACGTCCATGACACCGGAAATCACCTCACAGGCTCGGGTGGTAGGTGGTGAGACTGCATTCTCCTCCCCCATGGGCGTGGATGAAGTTGCGGTGGTGGCAGTGGTGCCGGCAGCCGAAATTAGGCCAAGCCGAAATTCGCACATTTCGACCGGAGAGGTCGAATCGTGAATTACGACGCCATTCGCACCGGAAATCGTCTCACATGGTCCCATGGTAGGTGGTGAGAGTGCATTTGAGGTCCCCCCTTCATAGGAAAAGCCGTGGCGGCGACTGTGGCGGCGTGGACGTGCGTGCTAGTTTTAGCTCGGGTAGCGACCATAGTGAAAGCAAGTTGATTGAAACAGGGTTGCTGGCAAATCGGAAACTGGGGTTATGTAGCTCATTGTCAAGGGAGGTGTATTAGTGGTTTTAACCGGATATACTACTAACTTAATTTTGCCTTCTCGTATTATCCTACTGATAGGGCTCACTCGAGGGGGGGGTTGATTGTTCTGAAATGTCGCGAACAGTTGTTTTTTTACATGAACGCGGGTCCCCTCATCCGGACATTCCTTCTTTCCAGGTGCGCGTGACGGGGTTGGGTTATGTAGCTCACGTTATACAGCTTTCGCTTCGCATGGGGAAGATACAGGGGTCATTCCCAGGTGTTGTTGCATTTTATACCAGAATGTCAAGAGTACACCATCAATGGAATTCCTGTTATCATTGTTTGAATTTTACTTGTTGAGCCACAAGATAGCTGCTACTCAACTCACAATGGTAGACCAAAACACGAACACAATTTTTCTTCATTCTCCGTTTCACACAATAATCGAGTCGGCACATTTGTGCTCCTCTGCACTTACATTTCCAATAGCTAGTTTCTGCGACTTTGGTCGAGAGGTGGCTTGGGCTTGAAGAATAGCGTGATAATTTGCGGCAATGAAGTTCCCGTGACAGTCAATGTCTTTCTGGACGTTTTCAACTTTTTCTTTCGCGGCAAAAACAGCAAATTGTCCCACACCTGCGACTGACGTTTCAACCAACTGTTTTCGACGGCACAAATTTCTTGCACTGACAGATTGAGAAATGACAGCCGGTACAACAGATTGTCCAGCGACGGCGGACATAGTCCAGTACGCACGCAACCATTGGAAATTGAAGTTTGTTCCGGCGTCATCCAAACACGGCACTCAATAGCAATCGCCTTGTGCTTGCTGATATTCGTCAAAATATCACCCCAACTGTCATCGGCAATCTCGCGACGGATTGCTTGCTTGAACGGTCGTAAATCCGCGACATCCAATGGCTGGAACATGTGCGTTGAGTTGGCTGGCAAAAACTGCCGCAGAAAGTCCATCGACATTGCAGCTTCAAAGATGTAGTTGGAGTAGTGCGATGAACAGCCGTCTAGTACGAAAAGAATCGGTCTTGGTGTTGACGCCGGAATAGCTGAGTTCAGCATGGACAGCCACTTCCTGCAGATATACGAGTTCGTCCATCCCTTCTCAGATGTTGTAGCGGCCGCGCGACAGGGATGCTCAGGTTGTCACAGACTTCAGTTGCGCGCGGGACCAGGATGCACAAAAAGCGGAGGAACTTTGGTGCCATCTGCGCAGACACATGCCACAATCGTGGCATGTGCTGATACCGACGCCTCTTCTACGTACACCTTGGCTGAGTTGTGATGCACAACCACCTTCCTTGACATCTTGTTTGGACTGAAGCTGGTTGCATCCATGTTGTACACGCGCGAGGGTTCGAAATCAACTAGAGACATGGAATGCACGAGGTCATTGTAGCAGTCGACAACTGTATCCTGTCAACGGAATTGCGCGCCTTGCTCATGACTTGAGGCTTCACCGTCTTCAACTCAGAATGACGACACAAAAAACGCTCATATCACCCAGATGATCGTTTGTACGGCTGGTTGAGATCATGCACGATGGTCATCATCTGGCTGACTTTGTGCATGATGGATTGACGTCCAACAGGATGACCATCTTGCTGCAAAGCTAAGATCCAGGTCGCCACGTCCGCCTCGTACAATGGTGGCAGGATGGGCATTGGTCCCATCGTTGCTTTGGTCGTTGTAGAGCCGGATCTAGCTCTTGTCATGTGTGTGCGTAACGTTCGTTGAGGGATGACATATGCTTTGGCAGCGGATGGAATGGTGTGTTGCTTCTTGATCACGTCGCTCACTGCGGCTGTAATCTCGTCGGGTGTGTACAGGGTTCTTGGCGGAAGTTTGACACACTTGATGCCTCAGAATTCTAATGTATTAATGTATTTCCCACCATAAAATGATGAGTGATTTAGTTGCTGGAGTAATATATTTCATCCAATCACAAGATTCTTGCGATTCTGGAGCTCGGCTGATCACTGAGAGCTGAGGTTACACTTCTCCGAGATTGCCGCTCCACTGACTTCCCTAATGACCGAAGACACCTTTACGTGGACGCCAGACTGTGAGGTCACTCTCAACAAACTGAAGCGTTGTTTGGTTCCCCGCGATACTAGATCACCCGTTTGCCCTGCTCGATCTCGGTGGACGCAAGTCGCGTCGCTGTGGGGCCGTCCTCATACAGAAGTAGAATGTAAAGAATCGAGTCATCGCATACGTCAGTCAGTCCCAGTTGTCAATGGCACAGCAGAAGTGGATTACTAAGGACATGGGAATCTCTGAGATCGAATGTTGGGGAGTAGTCTGGGCCGGCCACACGCAAATTCGACCATACATCGACAGACGACATTTCGGCATCTATACAGAACGAAGACCTCTCTTGGCGGTTCAAAATGGGGAGTCGGTCAGGCAACCATAAACTCGCGAGATGGGCCATGGAACTAAAAGGACTTGACTACTCAGCCATCCATTGGCTGGTCGAATTTATTGGGGCGGCAGATGGTCTCTCCCGAATTGCGTGTCCTGTGATGACACGCAGGGTTAAACGGTTGACCATCAGTACCACGCAGAAAGACGTTTGTACCACACCTTCTCAAGAGCATATGGCTGATCAGATGCTCAACCAAATAATGAGAAACCCGTCATACTGTTCGATCGGCGAAGACGACCGTCCCCGAGGCTGTACAACGAACAAATCAAAGACCCTTGGATCGCGGCACTACGAGCGTACCTCGACGAAGTCGCGCTACCTATCGATTCGCACCTCCAAAAACTCGTCACGACGAATGAACAACAGTACACAATCAGACAGGGGATCGTATGCCGCTACGTTACTTTTAAGACGCCATTGCGGAGCTCCGAACTCCTCGTGGTACCCGTGATCCCTTTGATCCTGGTGGACGAGGTCCTTCACGCGAATCATGACTTTCGATTCGTTGGATATCTTGGATTCACGAAGAGGTGTGAACAAATTCGGCAAACGGTCTACTGGCTGGACTGCCAACAAGATTGCAAGGAGTACGTCGTACATCTCGAAGTGCCCCGACGGCAATCGTGCCAATGGAGGGCGACCGTGGCGGCTAGGCGAAATGCAACCATGCCGGTCTACTCAAAGGGCTGTTTAGTCTGATGATGTGGACGTCCTCGGGCCGCTACCTGCCTCAAACAAAGGCAACAAGCACATCCTCACCTTCACCGACTACTTCACTCGGTGGGTGAAGCCTTCGCCGTGCCAGACGATCACCTTCATATCATCAGTGTAAATACATCAACTGCACGAGGGTCGTGGTAGGTGAACCCAGCGAGGCTTATGATGCTGCTGAGCATGGTCGTGCGCTCCTTGCCGCCTTGAGCATTTATCCAATCGCAAACTCTACGCATGCTGGTTTGTAGGATAGTTTCTTGGCGCTTGATAGCCTGGAGTTGCGTACGTCGTTGAGGTTCGTGTCCTAGCGGTCGGATAAGTTGATAGATGATTGTTGCTGAGTGCGTTGTCTTCACTGGAAGTATGCCCCGTCGGCCATTCCAGGAACGTCCTCAATCCAGTCCAACACCGAAGGAATCGATCATTCGATTTCCATGCATGTGTCGTCCGTCGGATTACCTACAATCTTGATGCTCGACCGTGTTATTAACTCGACTTATGCAATATGTCAAGATCAGTGTGATTGGTAAGAAGCGGGAGCATACGCATCTTGCGAGTACTGCGCGTGGAGGTGGCACGGAACATTCACCTTGATTGTATTTAATCCGATGGTCCCGACTTCCATTCATCCATCATTATTGCATCACGAATGTCGTCAGTCCGTGCCGAGCTCAGCTGACGCGGATCCCTGGGCGAAAACATTGTCGGCTTGCGTACGAATCTTGCGAGTCCTGCGCCTAGAGGCGGCGCGGAACATTCACCTTGATGGCTCTTGCAAGTCACAAAGTGTCCGTGTCGAGGCGTTCCAACATCTCGGTGCGTTTGGAACACTCTTCCGCAGTACGTACTCCGCAGATAATATGTCACGATCCCCAGGGCAAGAAGACATGGTGCACCACGCTTGGTCGAGGGCTCAATCGACGACGGAGCCGCAGGATATCAGCGGCCTACGGGTTGCGCATTGACAGTGACGTGAATCGAGGCGCCAAGATCATCGAGTAGTTGGAGAGTACTTGGGAAGGACGAATTCAAGGTAGAAGGCACGCGAATCGGGGGCCCAGTCAGTTCATATGAAGACTTGCACGTGGACGTCTCAAGACTTGAGAACAACTCGCGCCTGATCAACCATTCCTGCCTTAACTGACGCTTCGAGACATAATTCGTTGACGCAAAGCCGAGATTAATCGTCGTT